TGCAGATAATAGATCTGATCCAATGTGGAATTGCCAAGCTCTGTCTAGCACTTACTTCTTATGCTGTTTGGCACACAAGCAGTCCTGTTTTATAGTTCACCAGATTGACCCATCATTTTTGGTTATGTCTGATGCTGCTCCTGACATGACCTCTGCACCCTTCATTGAACCAGTGTTTGTTTCTGGCTTGATGGGTAATGGTAGATTGGGGGATATGTTGGTCATGAGGTTGCAGATGGCGTTGGTGTACAATTCTGCTGCTGCCTGATGGCCCACAGTGCTTCGTGGATGCCCAGTTTTGAGTTACTAGGTCAAAGCCTATCCTATTTAGCACAGTGATAGTTTTGCATAACATAATGGAAGGTTATTTTCAGTGTGAAAATGGTATTTGATCTCCAGAAAGACTGTGTAATGTCCATCCTTATTGATATTGTCATGGGCAGATACTTCTGTGGCAGGCAGATTGTTCAATGTTTTGCCTCACTGGGGTAGTGCACTGGAAGTCAAGCACCTCTGTTCCTGGAGTCACTGCAAAAGTTGAAGATTTTATAAGGTATGCAAAATTGCTCAATCTACCTGCCTTTCAGACCCAGGTTGACAGAACATACAAAGGAGATTTCTGTCCTTAACAAAAATGACTACTTATTACAAATAAACGAATTCTGACTAAAGTAAACAATTGTGAAACATTGGCATATAACTCTACTAGTTAAAGTCTAACCTCCCCTTTATAAACTCCCTCTTTACACACATACACAGATGGACACAAACAGGGAAGAAAAATAGGGTATCATGGGTGAAGGGAAAGACTCGGAAGGCAATTCAATGGTCTCTGTCCAGAGATTATCCTTCTGCTGATCAGAATGCAACCTTTTGTTCTTCCTTCTCCAGACACTTTCACTTGTTTGTAGGAGGCATAGAGTATGGGGAGGCGATGGCCTTATGGTATTATTGCTGGACTGTTAATTCAGAGACCCAAATAATGTTCTGGGAACCCAGGTTTGAATCCTGCCAGAGCAGATGGTGGAATTTTAATTCAATAAGTATCTGGAATTAGGAATCTAATGATGACCCCCATGAATCCATTGTTGATTGTTGGAAAACCCCATCTGATTCACTAATGTCCTTCAGGGAAGGAAACAACTACCCTTACCTGGTCTGGTCTACATGTGACTCCAGACCCACAGCAATGTGGTTGACTCTTAACGGCCCTCTGGGCAATTAGAGATGGGCAATAAATGCTGCCTAGCCAGCGATGCCCTAACCCCATGAATGAATAAAAGAAACTAACTGGTTCATGCTGACAAGGGTCTTTGATTTATCAATAAAAGTTATCACTTACAGAAACTGGAAAAAGGAAATAAAGTAGCTGTCTTCAGGCTTCAGTATCTTTCTCATCTCAATGACCCTACCAATCCAACACCCTTTCCCCACTCCCCACCAAATTCTCATCTCAAGCCATCAGAACAGCCTTTTATCCCAATTGTCTCACTTTCTCCGTCTGAATGACCCAGTTGATTCCCCTGTCCCAACGTCTCTCCCTTTCCTTGTGGCTCCATTTTTGTTTTTGGTTACCCACACCTAATTGAACTTTCTCTCCCAACTTCCCTGCTGTTAGTTCCCTGCTTCCCTGCCGCTCAACAGTCTCAAGTCCCCAGGACTGAACAGTAATATTGAATAGTCTTCAGGTCCAATCATACAGGTGCTTGGATCAATCATGGTGCTCAATTGCAGCATGAACAAATTTCTGGACCACTTACCTCATGGCTGTGTGGTAGAGATGAGTAATTGAGTGATATTATGGGAAATGTGTGTGCAATCCCACATTCCAGCACTTTGCTTGAATGTGTCATTTTGCAGCACCTTCACTGTGGAATCATTGTAATCAGTGTGAGACTAAAATAGTAGATGACCAGCATAAAAAATGAAATCTCTGTCTCCCACACATCCTATTAATTTAGTACTTACGCATTCACAAGCCTAGCTGGGGCTGCTGTTTAAAGAACATAATTGTTTTTCTCCAAAATCAAGTCATTTGTATTATGGTACTTGACTTTTAAAATAGTGCTTTGGCTAATTCTTTTCCTCTGTATTGTGATTGCTCTGTTCATTTAATCTACCATTTACCCTTTCCACAGGTTTTGCTTCCTGCTGTGTTGCTGAAATATTTCAGCTTACTGTCATTATATGTAAAAACAACTTCTGCCTGGCAGCATGCTTGAGGCTCAAACAATCATTTTCTTTGGCTGTGGCCCACAGTCTTCAAAAGGCATTAATAGTTCACCCTCTCCTAATGTGCCATCACATTAGATGCCAGTTAATAGGCATCCTGGAGAGAAGAATTTCTTACGGTGGAATGTTACAGGGCCCTGATTGATGTGGGCTGCGGCGAGAGATCTGGGAGAATTGAATGAGAAGTCAAGTGAGGCCTTTCTCAATGTTGGGAGCAACAAGTCGCATTTCCGAACAGAGCTCCAGGTGTCATGACAAGGTTCATACCAGAGAGGTCAATTAACAGGGATTATTGCTTGTTATCACCCTCACTATCTAAAAATCTCACCTCATCTATGTGCAGCTTCCCACCATAAGAGCATAAGAAATAGGAGCAGGAGTAGGCCGTCTGGCCCATTGAGCCTGCTTTGCCATTCAACAACATCATGGCTGATCTTTTCATGGACTCAGCTCCACTTACCTGCCCTCTGATCATAACCCTTAATTAATTTACTTTTTAAAACTCTACCCACCTTTGCCTTAAGAACATTCCATGAGTTAGCCTCAACTGCCTCACTGGGCAGGGAATTCCACAGATTCACAACCCTTTGGGTGAAGAAGTTCCTCCTCAATTCAGTCCTAAATCTGCTCCCCCTTATTTTGAAGCTATGCCCCCTACTTCTAGTTTCACCCGCCAGTGGAAACAACCTCCCTCCTTCTATCTTATCTATTCCCTTCATGATTTTACGTTTCTATAAATTCTCCCCTCATTGTTCTAAATTCCAATGAGAACAGTCCCACCCTACTCAATCTTTCCTCATAAAGTAACCCTCTTAATTCCAGCAACAACATAGTGAACCTACTCTGTAACCCGTCCAGTGCCAGTAAATCCTTTCTCAAATAAAGAGACCAAAACTGTACACAGTACTCCTAGTGTGGCCTCATCAAGACCCTATACAGCTGCAGCATAACCTCCCCATTTTTAATAGCAATGAAGGACAATATTCCATTTGCCTTCGTAATAACCTACTGCACCTGCAAACCAACTTTTTGTGATTCACAAAGACACACAGGTTCCTCCACACAGCAGTATGCTGCAATTTATTACCATTTAAACAATAGTTAATTTTGCTGTTATTCCTACCAAATGGATTACCTCACATTTACCAACATTGTACTCCATCTGCCAGACCCTTACCCACTCACTTAACCTATCGATATCCCTCTGCAGATTTTCAGTATCCTCTGCACATTTTGCTCTGTCACTCATTTTAGTGTCTTCTGCAAACTTTGGTCCCCAAGTCTAAATCTGTCTAAATTGTAAACAATTGCAGTCCCAACATTGATCACTGAGGCATACCACTAGTCACTGATCACGGACCAGAAAAACACCCATTTATCCCCACTCTTTGCCTTCTGTTAGTTAACTAATCTTCTACCTATGCTAATACATTATCCATAACACTGTGCACCTTTATCTCATGCAGCAGCCTTTTGTGCAGCACCTTGTCGAATGCCACTTCCCTCATGATAGTAATCTCATTAAGTTCCACTCGCCCATCCACCTCCTGATTTACAACTGTCACTGAAACTATTTTTGTATCAATTAGAGTGAAGATAAAGTAAAATATTTCTTCATTTCATCCACTGTTTCCTTATTATCTCCTGTTAACTCCCTTTTCTCACTCTCTAGAGAATCCACATTCACTTAAACTTTTTCTTTTTAAAAACCTGTAAAAGCTCTTTGCAATCCTTGTTTACACACCTACTTAGCTTCCTCTCATATTCTAATTTTGTTTCCCTCCTCATATACTGCTTGTTATATACTGATCAATGACCTGACCTGCCACTCATCTTTGCATGATTATATGCTTTTTCTTTAAATTTTCTTTAAACTCGGCATGTCTAGCGTAAGATAGCAAATCCTTTGGCCTTGTTTTTTGCACTGAAGTGCGCAGTCCCCTATGGATGGGAATATTTGGGGAACCTTCTCATATTAATTGTTTAATTGTCCACCAACGTTCATGACTAGAAATAGCAGGACTGCACACCTTAGATCTGATCTATTGGTTGTGTGATTAGTTACTTTTGTCTGTCACCTGCTGCTTCTACTGTTTGGCCTGCGAGTCCTGTGTTGTAGCTTCCCCAGACTGATATCTAATTTCTCGGTAGCATAATGGTGTTCCCCTTCTGCACTCTTCCTTGTACTAGGGTTGATCTCCCAGTCTGATGACAATGCTAGAATGGGGCATACGTGAGCCATGAAATTACAGATTGTTTTAATTCAACTATGCCTCTGCTGAAGGCCCATAGCACTTCGTGGATGCCCAGTTTCGAGTTGCTGTTTCTGTTTGAAACCTATCCCATTTTACACAGTGGTTGTGCCGCACAACATGATGGCGAGTATATGCAATGTAAAGACAAGACTTCATCTGTACCGTGTATCAAAACTGCCATGGATAGATGCATCTGCAATGGCTAGATTAGTGAGGACAAAGTCAAGCAAGTTTATCCCTTGGAAAATACCTTTGGCAAAAATAATTTAATTGCAAAAATGTGTATTTTTTTTATTTCAGTTTCAAATAGACACCAAAGGTTTTGTTATCTGGCCTTATACAAATGAATAGCCCGTTGCTTTGTACTCTGTGTAATACAGTCCATAGCAGTATTTCAGGCATATACCATTGCTCACAATAAGGTTCCTTCTATTATTTAAGGCTTGTTGTTAAAATATCCATTTTTCACAATAGCACCAATACTAATTGAAAAATTTCAACAGATACACAAAGCACCTTTCAGAATTCTTTATTCAGACCAGAAAGAGTACATGTTCGCAAATGATAACCCACATGGTCGGAAGGAAAACACAAAGAAGAACCAAAATGCTGATTGTTGCTGTGACTCAGAGAGGTTTTACTCACAAAATAAAAACAGGCTTGTTAGTGCAGTGAATTAAAAAAAATCTATACTCACCACCCTGCTGTGTGAAGTGCATGAATCACTGCAGCAGAATGTTATATTGTCATACTGTATTACAGTCAATGTGCTGGTTAGGGGAGGATTTCAGGGAAGTAAGAAAATGAGTATCTCATAAAATTAAGCTTTACAATTAATTTTAAGGTCAGAAATCACACGACACCAGGTTATTGTCCAACAGGTTTATTTGAAAACACAAGTTTTCGGAGCCTCGCTCCTTCTTCAGGTGTTAGTGAGAGAGATAGCATCAGACACAGAATTTATAAGTAAAAGATCAAAGGGTCACACCACTGATGAGGATGTACTAAACAAAAATAAGATGCTGTTGAATCTTTAATCAGTTGGAAGGTTTTAATTGATTAATATGTATAGGTAAAACCCCGAATTCCTTTCAATTCACTGTCCTGAGAGAACTAAAGGTTTTGTCAATGTAAAGAAGAGGTGACATTTTAGGTCAGTCAATGCATGTTTGGTGTGAGGCCTTGTTTAGAATCTGTGTGTGTTTTGGTTTGGAGTCAAACTGGTTTTATTTCTAAAATAGGAATTTATAAAACGGCACATTGATTGACTGTCTATAAATTGTGTACTTTTTGAACAGAATAAAATATATCTGCAAATACAAATTCACCCCATAGATTCATATGTGTGGTGAATGTGTGTGTGTGCGCGCGCGTGCGCGCATGTATATGTCTGTGTGTGTGTGCGTGAGTGAGAGGGCAGTAGAAAGAGTTTGTATGTGTATGGGAGAGAGTGTGTGAGTGGGGTGGAGGGAAAGAGTCTGTGTGTGCGTGTGTGTGAGAGAGAGAGAGAGAGAGAGACAGAGAAAAACAGAGAGAGTGAGTGTGTGTGCACTTGACAGACAGTGTGTGAATGAGAGAGGATCTGTGTGTGTGTGTATATATAAGTCTGGTGGAGTCACCTGTAGTGCGATATGAACTCAAGATCCTGGTTGAGGCCGTCCTCGTGGGTTACCAAGCTTGGCCATCAGCCTCTGCTCAGTGACTCTGCGTTGTTGTGTATCCCGAAGTCCACCTTGGAGGCCATTTACCCAAAGATCCAAGGCCAAATGTCCTTGTCCGCTGAAGTGTTCCCCCACTGGGAAGGAACATCACTGTTTGGCGATTGTTGCGCGGTGACCATTCATCCATTGTTGTAGCGTCTGCATGGTTTCGCCAATGTACCGTGCCTCGGGACATCCTTGCCTGCAGTGTATGAGATAGACAATGTTGGCTGAGTCACATTTTAAGTAACATTTCGAAAACATGTTATTAGATTAAAGTTTTTCAGACAAACTCATTTTATTTATATTAATCCTCATATTGATAATGTAATCTTCAAAGGCCCAACCTGGAGGGGGAAACTGATTTTGTCCTCAATAATTAATTTGTATTTTTTCTAAATTTTTCTGATGGTGCCTTTCATACAGGAGGGTGGTTCTAAAGATGCGAAGTTCTTTGCGTGCACCCCAATTATCATTCTTCATGCATGAGCTTCTACTGCAAGTGTTACAGGAATGCTGTATTAGGAATTGGCCATTCAGCCGATCGAAGCTCATCCATTTTTGAATTAAACCATGGTTGATCATCCAGCTCAATTCCACTTTCCCACACTATCCCCAAATACCTTGATGTCATTAGTCTCCAGTAAATGATCATTTCTTGTGTTCAACATGCTGAATCAATGAGCCTGCAAAGGCCTCTGGGATAGTGAATTCCAAACACTCACCATCTTCTAAGTGAAGAAATTCCTCCTCACTTAAGTCTTAAATTGCTTACTTTTTATCCTCAGATTATATTCTGATTTTTAACTCAGGAACCAGGAAGAATACCTTGGCTACACTCTGCCACATCCTGTCCAACACTTTAAAGTTTCATTGAGGTTGACCGTCATCTTTGAAACTAAGGAATACAGACCTTATTCCTTAATCTCTTCATCCTCATAAAACAATTACACCATTCCAGGGATTAATCTGGTGATCCTACGTTGCACTCCCTCTAGTACTAGACTATGTCTCCTTAGATAAGGGGACCAAACTGTACATTGAAGATATACCAGACTGATTCCTGCGATGGCAGTACTGACATATGAAGGGAGACTGATTTGGTTAGGTCTATCTCCAGTGGACTATCAAAGAACAAAGTCAGGGGAATCTCATAGGAACCTGTAAATTTATAACAGGACTAGAGAGGTAAATGCAGGAAGGATGTTCCCAATGACTGCAGAGTTCAGGTAAGTTTAAGGATACGGGGTAGGCCATTTAGGACTGAGATGGGAAAAAAAAATTCTTCACCCAGAAAGCGGTCAGCCTGTCAAATTTTCTGCCACAGAAAATGGTTGAGGCTGATTCATTGAATATTTTCAAGAAGGGGATAGATATAGTTCTTAGGACTAAAGGAATCAAAGGAGATGGGAAGAAAGTGGAAACAGAGTACTGAAAGATGATCAACCAACCATGCTGATAGTGGAGCAGGCTCAAAGGACAGAATGGCCTATTCCGGGTCCTATTTTCCATGAAGACAGCTAGTGGTTATTGGGGATTTTCGTACCTCCACACCGGAGACAGAGGAAGATTTTTTGATACTTTCAATTGTAGACTGAGTGATGCTGTGCTGTACTGGCCCCACAAAAGCCATGGTCACTGGTAAGGAGCCAATCGGAAGTTTGTTGCTAAGCAATTGTGCCTTAGTTCAGAACCCATTGTCTCCAATGGTGTCTGACTTTGCTTTCCCTATTGTAACAAAAGGCAGCATTGCATTCAACTGGCAATGTGTTCCAGTAAATGTGATTTTTAAAACTGCAGCCATTTCTTCACACAGTCTCCTTGACAGCAACATCAGTACTAAAATGCTCTGAAGTAAATGTTGAAGTTACCCAACAGTCTGACACCTGTGACTCAGAACTTGGAGAAACTCTAATACAACAAAGACAACCAGTTGTTATATATATATGCATCTGTTAATGCAGGCACAACAAAGCTACATCCAGATCAAGGAACAGTGGCCATTGTGTTTGCGTGTGAACATTTTCATCACTGCTTATTTGGAAGGGACGAAGTGACAGTTGAGTCTAACTACAAGCCATTTCAAAAATTTTCCTCAAGTCACTACTAGTTGCTCCAAAATGTCTGCAAATAACGTTAGTTGTGGAGATATAATCTGGATGTAACAAATAAGCAAGAAAAATAGATGTACATCGCTGACCTGCTGGCAAAAGCAGTGCTCCCTTTGAAAAAAGTAGAGGATGTTAGTGTGTGACATTTTTCAGATCCATAAAGCAGCAGGTAAACATGGTTGAGAAATGATTAATCATTAACCCATCTGAAACATTGAACCTTATGGATAAGTGCCTTGCTGAAATCAAATAAACTACCCGACAAGGTGCAACTCTCCAAGTGTTGCAAGAGGTTATGATGAAAGGAGAGCCCTGAAAGAATCAAGGACACTTCTGTGATCCCAACAGCATATTGGGTATACAGTGCTGAACTGACAGCTGAATGTGGTGTATTACACAAAGGAAATTACCCACTATCCCTCAGAAATTGGCAGGAGAGATACAAAAGCACAATTGTGCAAGCCATAAAGGAATTGATTTAATCTAAGGAAGGCAAAAGAAATGTTCTTCTGCCCAAACATAAACGATGAAATCAAGGATTATATCAACCGGTAAAATGTGTGTAATGACAACCAAATTAGTCTAGTTAAAGAGCCACCAACAACACATCACATCCGAGACAGCCTATGGATGAAATTGGGAGTAGACCTCTTCACTCGCACACAAACCGGTTATTTTGTCACCAGAGACTTCTATTCTGACTACTGAAAGGAATACCAGCTGACTTCAACAACTACTAATTTGAGGATAGAATGCTTAAAAGCACCCTTTGATTGTTACAGTATTTCAGGCATCGCGATGAGTGACAATTAATCTCAATTCGTAAATGAGCAATAAGCCATTTCATACAGAAAATGAGACATTTATGGTAGAAATGCAATACGGAACAAATGTGTGTCCTGGCTAGCCACAATATGTGACCTCTACTGTGAAGCTCACACACTCTGAGCATCCTTTTTAAGGCCAGTTCAGTAATGACACAGTACAAGCCAGACTGTCGTTTTGCAAGCTCCTTATAAATTAAGACTTTTTTTTATTTGTTCAAGGCACGTGGGTGTCGCTGGCTAGGCCAACATTTATTGACCATCCTTAGTTGCCCAGTTAAGGTAAAATTTAATGCAGAGAAATAGAAAATTATTCATTTTGGTAGGAAAAGAATAGAGAGATGATAAAAAATAACGGAGTTTGGGTTGCAAACATCAGAATGGCTGGCAAAGATGTCCACCATGTCAAAACAGCACAAACACAGCTTTCTGCCTGTTCCCCTGACTGCCCTGCAAGCCTCTGTCCCACCCCTCACTGCTGTTGACTGCTAGCTGGGAGATGACTGTCGCCATACCCCATCCACTACCTTTTCCAGGGGGCTTCTTCCCCCACCCCCTGACCACCCCAACCCTGCTGCTGCTGCATTTCCCTTTCCATCATTGCTCTGGTTGCAACCCTTCCACACCACCCTCACCCTACCCCCGCACCCCTTTCTGCATCCCTCCAATCATCACTCCAGGATCTCTCTGAGTATGCCAGATACTATACCACATAGTGACAATAAACACAACCATAAAATAATGAGTACAATTTTAAAGGGGATGCAGGAGCAAAGGGGCCTGGGCATAAATCATTGAAGGTGGCAGGACAGGTTGAGAGATTGGTCAATAAAGCAACAGCATCCTAAGCTTTACTAATAGGAGCATGGAGTATACAAGCAAAATATGTGAATAATTGTAAATGTACTGGTGGTGCCTTCAATGTTTTCAGTTCAGACTGCTACATAGCTTATGAAAGCTGTGAAGGAGAGCAGAAAATATTCACAAGATAGGTCCCAGTGGTGAGGCATATGAGTTACATAAATAGATTGGACACACTGGAGATTTGACAGAGGTATTCAAATCATGAAGGATCTAAACAAAAGAAAAGAAAACTGCTCCTAACAGCGATTTCCCTATAACGCAATTTTCTACAGTGATATTCTATTGCGTGAGGTCACACAAGAATGCAACTATCGTGTCATAGGAGAACTACATGTACATATAACGTAGGAAATTAAATTCTGAGTGTTTCAAGCATTGGCTGGTTGCATATAGGCAGTACTTTGCCTATTGTGTAACAGATGCAGTGATCCAACAGTCAAAAAGGTGTGTTAAAACAGTTTTCATAGAATCCTTATAGTGTGGAGCAGGCCAAATGACGAGCATCCCACTCAGTCCCATCCCCTACACCATCCCTGTATTTCCCACCCTAGACACTGTGGGCAATTTAGCACGGCCAATCCGCCTAACCTGCACATCACTGGACTGTTGGAGGAATCTGGAGCATCCAGGGAAAAACCACGCAGACACAGGGAGAATGTGCAAACTCCAACAGACAGTCACCCGAGGCTGGAATCAAATCTGGGGCCTACTGCCTGTGAGTGGGATCCTGAAGTGATCCAAAGATCTGCTGCTGCATGATTCTGCACAAATCGTTAGTGAAAGTACACCGGTGTTGCATCTTTGACTAAAGATTTGAAATAGGGAATGACTACAGCAAAAGGTCGAAAAGTATATCGCCATAGACTGGTGCAAATTTGACAGAAACAAGTACACAGTGTTCCCCAGCAGTGACAAAACACAAGATAGCTGTCCACACAAACTACAAAGATCATTTGTTCCCAAGACAATGTGTCAACAACTTCTCTTCCCAAGGACAATCCCACAGTGGAACAAGCTGCCAGAGCGAACATTCACAGTTCCATCACTTGAAAACTTCAAGATCCATCTCTAGATTATTTACATTTATATGTTTTACATTATCAAAACTCTCAGTTCAGTAGATCATGTCTGGTTCAACTAGCTGACCATATAAATGCTGGTGCCATGCAGTTGTTAGTCTGTCATGCCAACAGAGCCAAAGCAGAGGCTGAACTTCTGACTCCAAATCTAAATGCTCTTTAAAATAGGCTAGCAAGCCAATCAGTTCTATTGAAGACGGTGGTGTGAGATTAATTAGAGATTGGCAATAATTCTTGGTTTTAGTCGTGATGCCCATATCCTACTGTTGGATAAAAATGAGCATACAAATTTCAGCTGATAATTCCCAGTGATAACTTTCCACTGTCGGTTGTGATAGTACAAAGAACAGTGTGGGATATTTGTTGCGTGGGAAAAAGTAAAAGCAGAGGTGAGTACTGCAAAACCATTATCATACATACCTTGTAAGGTTATTGTAGAATGGTTTGGCAGACATCTTAGAGCAGATTGCCGTTCCACCATCTCCCTCTAACTTATTGTCAGTGGTAAATGATGTATGAAAATGCAGAAGATATGGACAATAACTGCCTGTGTTAATGTGCAGTTAAAATTCAGACACTGTTACCTGCTGCAAGTAAGATGATACAACCATTAGAATTTATATTCATGAAAAGCAATCTTTAAGTCAATTATATGTCATGAATGATCCCAAATAGAGCGTGCAGAGACTGTGCAATAACAGTGACAGATTGGAACAAGCTAAATTATTGCCTTCATGCAAATCAGATAAGAAAAAGAAAGATGGCAAGACAAAAAAAATGCCAGTCTGCTCTAATCTTTACAACTAAATATTGTTATTGCAAACCTTGACTAGGAATTTGCACTTTTTTGTTGCGCTTAAACGAAGTTGTCATTTATTTTCAAACTGAATACCAATATCTGAAGGTATTAAATGATATCATTCAAATTTTCTCAAATTTCTCTCAGGTATAAACGGTGATGGCTCACAAATTGTTTTTGTTAGACATTCAATAAACTTCAGTACGATGATAAAAAACTTGAGCCAAGGGTATCAAGCTATCACACATATGCTCCTTCTAAACACTGATATCCAGAAAATTTTTAGCTCACTCTAAATGTAGTGAAGTGAAACATATTTCTGGAAGTTTTGCACTTAATCCACTTAATGCATCTGTAGCCATAGTTACTTCAAACACAAATTCTGGATGCCACTAGTGAATGAAGATTTATGGGAAAAGAAAACACAGAACTATGACATTAACTACATTTTATTTTGAAATAACAGCAAGCTTATTTAACCTGTAAGTAATTTATAGAACGATGCAGAGGTGCCAGTGTTGGACTGGGGTGGACAAGGTCAGAAATCACATGACACCAGGTTTTAGTCCAACAGGTTTATTTGAAAATACTTTTTGAAAAGCTTTTGGAGCCTTGCTTCTTCTTCAGGTGTTAGTGAGAGAGATAGTATCAGACACAGAATTTATAAGTAAAAGGTCAAAGGTCCACATCATTGATGAGGATGTACTAAACAGACCCAAGATGCCGTTAAATCTTTAATCAGTTAGAAGGTTTTAATTGATTGATATGTACATGTAAATCCTCAAATTCCTTTCAAGTCACTGACCTGAGCGAACTAAAAGTTTTATCAGTGTAAAGAAGAAGTGACATTTTAGGTCAGACAATGCATGTTATGTATGAGGCCTTGTTTAGAATCTGTTTGTGTTTTGGTTTGGAGTCAGACTGGTTTTATTTCTAAAGTAGGAATTTATAAAACGCCACATTGACTGACTGTCTATAAATTGTGTGCTTTTTGAATAAAATACAATGTATCTGAAAATATAAATTCACCCGATATATTTACGTGTATGCGTGCGTGTGTGTGTGTGAGTGACAGAGACAGAGACAGTGTGTGTGTATGAGAGGAAGAGAGACAGTGTGTGTGCACGTGTATGTGTGTGTGTGTGGGGAGGGAGAGGGAGAGAAAGAGTGTATGTGTGGGACAGTGACTGAGTGTCTGTGTGTGGGTGGGGGGGAGGAGAGAGTGTGTGTGTGGGAGAGCGTGTGTTTAGGTGTGTGTGTGTGTGTGTGTGTGTGTGTGTGGTGTGACCCTTTGATCTAATTTGTAGAACACAGATTACTCCCTGGTGGTCTTTTGTCAGAATTATTACAAATTGGTTGATAAACAGGAAGTTAATTGAGAAGTTGGTCCCTTGTTAGACCATGGTTGTTCGTGACACTACGTAACCAATAAGTAAATTGCTCTGTCAAGATTTACAACGTGATAATAGATAAAAGCAATCTGTCTAAATGAACCCTTTTGGGACCAATGGAAAACCATTTGCCTCAAAAGTGACTGTAAAACTTGGTGGTTTGATTGTTCAATGAGCAGCAACAAAGAACATTAATTTTTGTGCAGTCCACTGGACTAAGGAATACAAACTAAGCATAGTTTTGCAATCATTAAAAAGTGAATGCTGTGAGAGTATGAAATCCTGATATTAATATCCTCCACCCATCGCAGATATTTAAATAACAGTTAAACATGAAGCAAATTCAGTAGCCAAACAGTTTGCTTGTTCTACAATTAAGCATTTCTAAACAGAATGTCTTTGAGTTGCATTTTACTTTGGTTTAAGCAAGTAGGAGATATGGTGCCTTTGGATCAGTCAGTAAATTGTGGATAAGTGCACTGTTCCATTGAAAAGTTCTCTATGGGCAGCACACTTTGGAAAGGGAAGGTAATGACATAGTGATAATGTGATAATGGCTGAGTAATTCAGAAACCTGGACTAATGTTCTAGGTCCATGGGCTCAAATCCCACCATGACAGATGGTGAAATACGAAATTTATTGAATTGAATCCAATAAAAATCATGCCTTAAAAAGGTTATCCGAATCATAGCTACGTAAATACTGTCACTTTTCTGAAAAAGCTCATCTGGATCACTAATGCCCTTGAGGGAAGGAAATCTGGTTTTACCTGGTTTAGTTTACATGTGACCCAGACCCATAAATCTGTGGTTGATTCTTAACTGCATTAAACTGATCAGCAAGCCACTCTGTTGCAGGATAATTAGGTGGAGCGATAAAGACTAGCCTAGCCAGCAAAGTACACATCCTGAGAATGAATAAAAAAATTTCAGAAAGGATCTCCGAGTCTAAAGGAAATTTAGCAGAGTGAACACGAATTGCACCAGTTATGTGGAGTATAGACATGTGGGGATGACATTGTTCAATATCAGAAGTTTAAAGGGGAATTTAATAAAGATGTTCAAAATTCTGTGGTTCTGCAAAACCTGATCCTCAGTCCAAGAATAAACATTCTCATTAGGATCATAAGTCATCAGACTCTGTACTCCAGAGCGCAGTGGAGGCAGTGACGTTGAATATTTTTAACACAAAGGCACATTTACTCACTTGTGTGTCAAGAATCTAAAGTTATCAGGAATTGGAAGGAATGTGGAGTTGACTCAACAATCAAATTAGACATAATCTTATGGAATGGCAGAACAGGCTGAAGGAGCCAAATAGTCTATTCCTGTTCTAAATTTGTATGTTCATACCTCTATGTAAAAAAAAACATAGTGCTAGAAACTTAGAATACATTTTGATGATAACTATTTTAGTTAAGCATTTGATAAACTTTTCCATAATAATTCACTAACAAAAATGAAGACACACTGATTATTTCTAACAATCATCCTGGTACAATTGCTGGCAATCCAAGAGAAAAGAAAGATGTATGCACTTTAGCCATTTCTCTAACCGTTATAGAAGGAATTGATCATTCTTTCAATGTATCTTCAGAGTGAATGCTTGACAGCTTTTGGAATTAACTTTAGGTAATTCACAATACAGCACTGATACAGTTTGGAACTGAATTTTTAGACAGCATGAACTCTATACTGTATAAAAGATTTGCTTGAAAAGCAATACTTATCTGAAGAAAAGGGAAAAGTTCAATTTTGCAAGTAATGGGGACAGTGAAATGATTAAATGCTTGTCTGCTTTACTGTACAGTGACTAATCTTCAAGTGTACTTCATTGGTTGAGAACATGCTGCGACGTCTTGAGGTAGTGAAAGGCACTATATAAGCCTTTCTTTTAATTTTACTCAAATTCTGTGAAGGTTTGTTGAAAATGTAAAAAGCAATTTGCATTGTAGTTAAACCATTACATGACAGAATTTTGGAAAAATGTAATTTTTTACTCAATTTTGTTAAATTTCATAATATGCAACAATGCCATTATTACCATAATTAAATAAAAGTTGTTTACTTGGAACAAAAATCTTTGCATCTTCTAAAGGTTTGTTAACACAATTAAGAGAAATAGAACAAATTCAGAAACAGCATGGTTGCAATATATAAGTTTTCCCCATTGAGATTTTTAACTGAGCTTGTTCTGTTTAGTTTTATGGAGGGTGTGGGGGATAGGAGCTGGGGTTGGCAGTAATGGACTCAAAGTAGATACAACAGCCAAAAATAAGTTAACCCCAATGTTGCAGCTGGCACCATTTTGAAAGGAATCTACCAATGGACACCCAAAAACTTCTCCTGTTTCAAGTAGGGATGTTAATTTACCCAACGATCTGAAGACTCTCGGAATAAAGGGCAGTTTCCCAAGCACTACTCTGTTCTTTACATTGTTCGAACCATAATAACCAGCAGTCCATGTTCCATCCACTTCTTTGTCCTGCTTATATCTTGGATTTGGGAACAGGGTATCACAGTCATAAGATCTGCTGCAGACACAAAGGGTGGGAGTTCTGTAAAATAACTAGGAAAACAATAAAAATTTGAAGAAGACATACACAGATCACTGGAATGGACTGATGCAGCTGGAAGATGCAATGAAAAAGTGCGAATTAATATATTCCAGGCAGAAAATAAGGAATTGGCTTTGACACTCAATGTAAAGATGTTGAAGGTTGAAATACATATTTCTCTGAAGTCCAAATGCTGAGAAGCATGGTAATTAAGGTTTTGGAGTAGATCTGTAGCTCGGGTTGTGGGTATTGAGGTTGGCTGGCTCGCTGAGCTGGTTTGTTGTTCTGCAGACATTTCGTTACCGTGCTTGGTAACATCCTCAGTGCAGCCTCTGATGAAGCGTCGGTGTGTTTTCCCACCTGGTTTTTAAACTGCGGGGCCCGTTGGGATGGATTGCCTCACTTCTGGGTTTCCTCCATAGTGGAATGTATATGGGGTCGAGTTCAATGTGTTTATTAATAGTCTGCTTCGTGGAGTGCCATGCTTCCAGGAATTCTCGTGCTTGTCTCTGCCTAGCCTGTCCCAGGATCTTGGTGTTGTCCCAGTCGAAGTCGTGGTTCTCCTTGTCCATGTGGATTGAGATGAGTGAGTATTGGTCTTTTTGTAGCCAGTTGGTGTTCATGTACTCTTGTTGTTAGTTTCCTTCCTGTTTGTCCGATGTAGTGTTTCTCGCAGTCTCTGCAGGGGATCTTGCAGATGACATTGGTCCTGTCCATGGCGGGGAGTGGGTCTTTAGTTTGGGTGAGCATTTGTCGTAGGGTTGATGTGGTTTATGTGCCACTCTGATGCGGTCGTGGAAGTCTTGTGGTGAGTTCTGACGTGTTCCTGATGTAGGGTA